CCTCCCCTTTTTAGCGATACGATGATTTTGACTGAAGCATTGGCGTTTCCAAGTATTAGTCGCGAGGGAAGGATTGGACAAGCAGGAAAAGTCAGGCTACAACTTGCATGAGACCATGAGACATGATTGATGATATACGCAATAGATTGATTTGCCTTTGATTTGAACTTTCACGTCTTGGGTTCTCACAACGTTGGAGACGGTAGACATGAATGAATGTTGTGAAATGTACCTGTAATATCGTCAAGCTCCAAGGAAGCCCCTCTGGTGCCTCTAGCTGATTTCGGCGTGTACGGTTCCCGGCCTCGTTATTTCCCGCACTTGCCGCCTCTTGTCCACCGCTTCTCTAACCACCATCTTTCGCGGCTGGCTTGAGGCAACATGCTATGAGGTGCTCATAATGCCTTCTCCCTCTTACCCCAGACCTCTATCAGGAATGGTTGACCTGAAATTAACGACCATTCCAGAGACCCGTCCCTCGTAGGTAGCTGTGTCGGCTGCGAGACTACCAGCCGAGCAACATCGTCGCTGTCTGTCCATCTAACCTCGAACGCATCCGGACCCCGAACAGCCAACTTGGGGTTGAATCCCTCGCACAAGGGACTGCATTCCAGAGTTTTGAAAAGAGACGTGATTCCCACTCCATGCGTCGCGACCACGACGGTCCGGTCCTGCGCTCCGACTAGCTTGGCCTCGGTGCCCACGATGCGTGCAAAGGCTCGTTTAAGCCGTCTTACGAAATCGTCAAAGAGCTCGACGCCCGGCCCGCCGTCGGCGCTTCTTGGGTTGCTCATGTCAATCGTGTCGTACGAGCCGCCCTCGAACTCGCCGAGTGCCTGTCCCGTAAGATCTGGATCTGCATAGACTTGAACCCCTGTGCGATCTGCAAGAATGGGCTGGATCGTTTGAACGATTCGAATCAGGGGCGAATGGTACACAGCATCGATTGTTTGGCCGCGTAATTTGTCTGCCAGAATTTGCGCTTCTCTGTGTCCCTTCTCCGTCAGACTGGTATCTCGAAGGCCCTGAAGGATTCTATCAATGTTATCCTGTGTCTCGCCGTGACGGATAAAGAGAAGGTGTAGCTTTCCATCATTACTGTCCATGTTCGCGCAAGGTTTGTCCAAAAGACCGAATTGCTTATCGGAAAGCGACCTGCTATTCCAGGTATATTAGCGATACACCAGCTTGCCGAGGGTTGTACAAGCGTAGCGGATGATGAGCCGCGGATCAAAGAAGCAAGAGATCTCACCCTTCTTGAAGATGCGTGTCATGGCTCAATGCTTTGCCTGGCGTGCTTGTCCGATACTCCAGAGTCTGCTACCCCACAGTCGAATTTGGGGAACTTGAAGCCACGATCGGCGAAGATCACGGTCCAAGCTCTGTCCAGGTTACGCAAGGGTGAGAAGAAGCGGGGCGGCACGTCATCAATCACTGCGAGAAATGTCGTACAGTCGTGTTGCCCAAGTATAAAGAGCTCGAATGTTCTCGTCAGCACTCAAGATGGAGTTGACCTTGGCACTTCTTCGTCTAGGACACTTACGGAGCACAGCGTGAAGGTACAGTAGGGAGGATGCCGATCCCAAACATACTTCCAGAGGGCTTTGGCGAGATCGACGTTGTCGCTGCCAAAGGTGAGCCTGCTCTATTAAATCGACCCTCATCTGGCCTTGGGCTGAGCAAAGTCTATTAGGTGGTTCTGCAGCCTGCGTCGTTGTCAGTCATCTGGCGGCTGTGGTTTCAAATTTGTCCATACTGGTAATCGAGGGTGGCAGGACAAATTTGAGAATCCCCATGTACTAAACCCAGGACTTTTCCGAGAGCATCTTCGGCCGGGGAGCAAAACAGCGATCTTCTACAGGGCCAAGGTGGGCCCCCAGATCGGTGAGAAGGAGCGTATTGTCCCAGTCGGTGGGCTCTTGGGAGGCTGCTCAAGTGTCAATTTGATGCTGTACGGCGCAGCTCCATCTGCTTGCGGATGCTTAGTTGATGGTGAATGGAGATACACTCGGGCCCAACGCAGCGATTTCAATTCCTGGAACACCCCAGGCTAGAGGCTAATGAATTGATGCCCTTTCTGAAGAAGGGAGATGATGTGTGACTCTGTCGGGTCTTGTCCTGATTAATCTGCAGGTCGAAACATACCATGGCGCCGAAAACAGAAAGACGCACAGCTATCACGGTCCCATTCAAGTTCGGACGGCGCCTACATACCAATGTGCAAGATCCGGGGATAATTTTATCAAAACCTGTGCCCAAGTGGGCTACCTGGAGTACCAGGACACGGAGGGTCTGGATTCCAACAATGGTACCGAGCGATGGATGCGGCACGTTCTCCGGAAGGGAACCGTCAAGATACAGCTCATTGCTATCTCCATCCACTACTGCGAGATAGCAAGCAGCCGAACCTCTATGTGCTGTGTGAGACGAGAGTGGTTCGCGTGCTCTTCGACGACAATGAAAGAGCGACATGCGTCGAACACACTCCGAACCCTGATTATGTGCAAGGCACAGGCCGCGCAACAGGCGCCAAAGCTACCGTACGAGCGAGGAAACTTGTGGTACTCTCTTGTGTGCTATCGGTTCTCCACTTGTCTTGAAGCAGTCAGGAGTTGGTGGCAAGCAGACATTGGAGCGGGCTGGCGTTCCTCTCGTAGCAGACGTTCCCGGCACTGGACGACTACCAAGACTATAATCTAGTTTTATACCCTACCTCAAACCTGGAACCTCACGAGACGATGGATGCCATTCTATGAGATACCAAGGCTTGTGACGAAGCCATACTGAGCGGTAGTGCCATTCATCGGTGGAAAAGCTGCGACGTTTCTGCCAAAATCCGTTCAACTGATGCAGAAGCCGCAGCACTTGGCTCTGCGTTTCAGAATGTTTGAGACAGACTTCAAAGACAACCCCCACCGGCTTCTGATGCTAATTTCGCTAGCCTCGAGGTGAGCAAAGTGTTCATGAATTCCACAAATGAAACGAATTATTCAATCCTTCAGCTATGTCGAGGACCTTGCGCTGGTCCCCCGCAGAACATATGTTTCGATTGCGGCCTACACCACGTACCCCGACTCTCACGGTAAGCTACATATCACTGGTCCCAACTGGGAGGTTCCCGTCGATTTTGACCCTGGTTTCTTCACCAATCCGCATGATGTCGACCTCAAGAAGCAGGTGTGGGCATACAAGAAAAGATCGCGCAATCAAGCGACGCCGTCAGGTGTACCGTGGAGAACTCGTGATTGGTTACCCCTAGTTTTTGGCACACTCTCCGGCTCTCAACGTCTCCTGCGTGCAGGGCATAAAAGTGGCAAATCTGTCTATTGTTCATGGGAATGTTGGGGCTATTACCGAGAACACAGCACTGCTGGTAGGCGAGAAGGCAGTGAGCATCATTCTGGGAGAAACTTGGATTTGTGGGGAGAAGGTGATCCCGAGACTGAACACAACTAACGGCACAGACGGTTGTTGATATAAACTGCAACAGAAGCTAGCGCCTGGAGAAGGTATGCCGGCCCAGAAAATTAAATATCTATTGTTGATACTCAGACAAGGAACTCGTTAGGATAGGAGAATAGCTAACCTCTCAGCCTCGCCTCTCCTCGCTCCCCGTTTGACGTATGAGGGGCAAGAGGGGTTTGTACGCCAACTAGGGAGACGAGGATGGTTCTTGGCATTACGGTAGGCTGCGAGCACAGTGCCGCCGCTTCACCTCAACTGCGCATACTACATCGATTGCCTGTGCCTGTAGAAAGTGTGCGTGCGGGCTTGACAACTCATCCACGTTCCTGCTTTCACCCGCGCCTCTTTCTTCTATACCCTTTCTATCCTGCAAGCTGCGAGCCTTTGAGCTCACACAGGTCTCACACTACCTCCCAAGATGGCCGAGCCACCCATCGGTAAGACCCCTCCCCAACCCACCTTCCCATTGACCTTCTGCTGACACAGGCACCACAGTGCTCGATGGGGGTACCGGTTTCCTCAAGGTTGGCTATGCAGCTCAAGTGCGTTTGCCCACGGGCCCTGCCCATTCTTTCAGACGGAGCCGAAACTTAACCAGTCAACTCGCAGAACTTCCCCGAGTATCAATTCCCCTCCATAGTCGGCCGGCCGATTCTGCGTTCGGAAGAGCGGGCAGGAGACATCGTGGTCAAAGACATTATGTGTGGAGACGAGGCAGCAGCTGCAAGATCGATGCTGCAAATAAGTTACCCTGTGAGGAGAGACCCTCCGGAGATCGAGCAAAAGACACTTTCCACATGGTGAAGTTGGGCACTGGCTGACCAAGGAGGAACAGATGGAAAACGGCATCGTCAAAAAGTGGGACGACATGCAACATCTCTGGGACTTTACCTTCTATGAGAAGTTGAAGATAGACCCCAGAGGCCGCAAAATCCTCCTGACCGAGCCACCAATGAACCCGCTCAAGAACCGCGAGCAGATGTGCGAGGTCATGTTCGAGCGCTACGGATTTGGTGGGGTATACGTCGCCATTCAAGCGGTGTTGGCCCTCTACGCACAAGGCCTCTCTTCAGGTGTGGTTGTCGATTCCGGCGACGGTGTCACACACATCGTGCCCGTGTACGAATCCACAGTCCTCAACCATCTCACTCGACGCCTAGACGTGGCCGGCCGCGACGTAACCCGGAACCTGATTGCTCTCCTCCTGCGACGAGGTTACGCCCTCAATCGTACCGCCGACTTCGAAACCGTGCGTCAAATTAAAGAGAAACTATGCTACGTGTCGTACGACCTGACACTCGATCAACGTCTATCAGAAGAAACCACCGTCCTGGTCGAGTCCTACACATTACCAGACGGCCGCGTGATCCGCGTAGGCAGCGAGCGCTTCGAAGCCCCCGAATGTCTCTTCCAACCACATTTAGTCGACGTCGAACAACCCGGCATTGCCGAATTCCTGTTCAACACCATCCAATCTGCCGACGTGGACGTTCGGTCTTCTCTGTACAAAGCAATTGTCCTCTCTGGCGGCAGCAGCATGTATCCCGGCCTCCCCTCGCGCCTGGAGAAGGAACTCAAACAGCTCTGGCTGACCCGCGTGTTGGGCGGGAATCCGGAACGACTGAACAAATTCAAGGTGCGCATCGAAGATCCCCCCCGGAGGAGACACATGGTGTTTTTGGGCGGTGCTGTCTTGGCCAACATCATGGCAGACAAGGAGAATATGTGGATCTCCAAGCAGGAGTGGGAGGAGCAAGGGCCCCGAGTGCTGGAGAAGTTGGGTCCGAGATAGTGAGCCACTCACACGTGGATCACATGCGGGGAGCCGGCTTCGGGAATGCGAGTGCCTTTGGCTTGTCTTATGGATGAAAGCCTCGATTTGCCGAGGAGAGAGAGAAGGGATGGCGTGTGAGAGGGCTTCACTCTGGATGTTAAACAGAACGGAACTACGATACTTTTTCTTGACTAGACCTACAGTGTGGATTCCTTGTCGGCTTCCCGATCTCCCTGGTTTGCACTGACCCTCCCTTTTGCACCGCGGAAAAAAAATGCGAGATAGGTTAGTGAGCCAACGGGCGGGCGTGAGGGGGACCAGATGAAGCGAGAAAGATGATGAGACGAGTTGCTAGCGATGGGATGGGATGGGATGGGATGGGATGGGATGGGATGGGATGGGATGGGATGAGATGAGATGAGATGAGGCGAGCCTCAACCTGGCGGCAGGCAGAGCACCCTTGACCAAAACCCTGACCACGACCCTAAACCCGCCATCACGACGTCGATGGCGATGGCGATGGCGATGGCGACGGCGATGAACGATGAGCGATGAACAAGCGACCGAGTCACCTATCTATATACAAAAATCCAATTACGAGTTTTGAACCAAGGGAAAATAAACAAGACCACTTTTTTTTCTTTTTTCTTTGTCTTCCCCGTGAACTCTTTTCGGCCTCGACGAGAAATTCTAGCACCATGTAACACGTCGATTTCTTGATGTTGTTTTCTGTCGGGCAGGGTGGTGGTGGTGGTGGTGGTGATGATGACGACGATGGTGCCAACAGTGAACTATGTAACCACGGAGTACTGGCTCCCCTTTCGTCCTCCTGCCCATATTATTAATAATATCAAGTATATTTTCGTTTTGTTCTCGCAAGACTATACACCGTACATACAGCTTGTTCCTAAATATGCAAATATGCAGACAAGAACAAGCGGACAGAGATGGATTCTGGACCCCTGAACTGTACCAAGGCGAGGCGAGGCTTTTGAATATATTATACTCAAAAAAGGGGGGTCCAGAACAACATTTTGGTTAGCTCGGAAAACACGTAGCTATGGATGCCAACAAGTATTGAAGTCGACCAATATAAGATTTACAATTTTGTGCTTTGTTGCCGCGCTCGTGTTTACCTTTGCATGTGCCGATGGGTAGGTGTAATGTTTCGACGCAAGCTAGACTTCCGCGGACATCGTCAGCCTGATCGCTCCATCTTCACTCTGGATCCCTTCGAGCCCGGACAGTATATCGTGAGCCTGCTGCAGCCGGCTCCATTCGTGGGATGGCAGGATGGATGAGAGTGCTTCTGTGGCATCCAATTTTAGGACTGCGAATTCTCAACTGTGCAGTGCAATGCCCACTCTCAAGACACTTGTATTCCGAGAAGGAGCGACGGGAACGAAGTGTCCGTCTCGGAAGCTGCGGTGGAATCCGCGGAAGAGGATTGAAAGAGAGCAAGCCTGCCGGGGGAATTTCTTGTTCGAACCCACCAACACATTGCTCCACATCGGAATCAACCTGCAATGCCAGTCTTCAGATTGTGGGCTTGCAGTGAAGCAAGGGGTCCACTTCGAAGATATATCCCCCAATATTGGCATTTTGTGACGCTGTTGAGAAATTAACGCCGGTAAGATGCCAGAAGCCTGATTCGTGGTGAAGCTTGGGCGGTATTCAAACGTTCCTTTTGGTTTCGCACTGTTATCCCTGGACGTAGCGGACCGAACAGCGGCCAAGGTGGGGAATGACAGCTGCGTGCGGTGTCCATACCGGAATTTTGGAATATCTGAGAGGCCTTCGCTGCACATACCGCCGCTGTAGATATCTGCGACGATTCTAGCGTCATTGCCGAATTCGACCAGAGCTATATTGGGTCCAGCTAAACTCGTGCCCAGCTGCCGAACGTGAACCCTTAAATCGACCTTGGCGTACGAAACGTCTCTATATACTGGTTAGGAGCTGTTGGGTTCCATGCTTCACAAATGACCGACGTTCGTTGCGAAGCATATAAGCCCTCTTGTCCAACTTGATCATTGTGGGGCGATGGTTCAAAGTCGAACATGCCGCTGTCAAAGAAACCCAAAATCTCTGCGTCGGGCATGGCGAGGTCCATGTTCAATGCGTGTGCCTCAACCATAGCGCCGTAGTCGCCTTCGAAGTCCTCTTCTGACCAATCATAAGGTATAACGAAGCCCTGTGACGGTGTGGGAGCCACTTCCGGCTGCGTCGTTACAAAGGATGGCTGGTTCAGACTGGTCGAACTGAAAGCAATTTCCGCTCGACGTATCTGCTCAAACTGAGGAATGACAGGTGGATTTCCGCGAGGTATTTCAGGGGATCGCCAAACATTTGATGGAGCTTCACTTGCATCCATGGGCGTAGGTTGTACACCGGGCGCCGACACCTTGCCAACTTGATGTTTGGTAATCATTTGTCCGATCAGAAAGCAAGCAGCGTCAGCAATCGGCCAGATCTCCCGCAGGCGCAATAGCGCTCGGATACAAATATGGAATTGGTGTCCTGGAAGTGCTCCGACGGTTTGCCCCTTCGCTTTTATGTCCACAAGGAAGGAAGCAAGGGCGAGGAGCATAAAACTCACTGACAGTGGTGGAAGAAATCTGACCAGATCTCGCTCTTGCAGGGATTCTATCATTTCTGCAATCTTCTCGGCCGCTTCCTTGACCTTTGATGTTGGGCTATTCTCTGACCCGCTCAGGGGCTTGGACAATGACTGAGGTCGATTGAGTGCTTCAGACGCCATCAGGTAGAGCATTCTTAATACTGATCTGTGGACTAAAAGAGAATCGGCGGTTGAGGTATCGGATTCGATGCCGCTGCTGCTACTGCTGCTGCTCGTGACCAGCCAACAACTGGGCGGAAGATCTCTATACCACTGGTCAAGGTCATGTTGCAAGTCCAGATACTGCTTCCCGTTGACTTCGGATCTTTTGGGAGTATAAAGCATGGTGGACTCGGCTGTTGAGCCACCAAAGCCGCGCAGGTGGTAAAAGTGTTTGAGGATCTGTCCAATGAAGAGCAGCAGTTTGACTTTTGCGATACACATCTCAGCCAGCATGGTTCTAATATAGGCATCCGCCAGAAAAGCATTGCCATTGAGAGACAAAATGGCAGAATGGATAGGCTGGGTCTCGAAGTCGTCTAATTTAAGAGGGGGAAGTCTGATGTCCTCGTCCTTGATTCGCATTGGTCTCCGCATGCTGATGGAAATGATTCTGTCACGATGGACGCAAGTCCACCATATTCGTCTCCACAAAGCTCTAGTTTTGGGGTCCTTCTGGGTATGCGTGAAGGGCTGATTCAAACCGATGCTGGTTGCAAGAGAAATGCAGACACCAAGCCAGTGCCAGGGGTCTTTTTGGTCGTTCTCTGACACATACCAGTAGTTCAGCAAGAGCAGCGCTTGGATCAGGGCAATCCGATCTACATCCCAGTCGAAATCGTAAAGTAGCTGGATGGGTCAGGTGAGTAACGATGCCGTACAAGGTGCAACGTCCAACTACTCACCTTGACCTTTTGGTACAAGTCGGCTCTCGCAGCTCTTCGACTTTCATAGCCTGCTTCCTGGAGAAGCGACAACTCGACAAAAGCAGCGCCCGAAAACAGGACGGCTTGAAACACAACCAAGCTGATCTTGGACGATGCATCTTTACCGTCTAGAGCACCTAGCAAGTCTTCGAGGTCCACAATTGGCATAAAAGGGTGCACGTATAGCACAAAACATCGAATGAGCTGATCACGAAGCTCACCTAATGGTAAGCTCAAAGCTCCACGGCGATGCAGGAACTCCAAGTCGTCGTGCCGAATGTCTGGGCGAGACGGGCGAATATAGGGCGGCAAATCAATGACGAGACCCGGGCCCGGGCAATCAGAAGCAGCACCGGGTTGATTCTGCGCACCACCGAGACTGCTGTTTCGAGCAGTGACAGGCACGATCTGAAAATTGGTTGGTATCAGGGGAGGCATTGCTGAGGATTCTGAGGGTATTAGAGTGTCAGCTGACTGTGCAACCACCGTCTGAGAGATCTTACCATGATTTGTTTGACTCTGAACAGAGACTTGGAGGGCTGGACCTGCATCGTTCGAACCACTCGGGAGTTGCAGGATCGCCGGCGAAGGCTCCGAGGCCGATTTTGGCTGTGCCTGGGAGATGGTGGGAAGCGCAACGGGGCGACTCGACTGGCGCTTCTGAAGACGATACTTCCTGCTGCGCCTCGACTCGAGGATGATGCATTCAATTCCGTCCGAGGAGCAGTTGTGGCAGGGGACGCCAGATTTGACCAGGTCGCACTTCACCTTGCGGGTTCTGCAGTGGTGGCAGGCTTGCGAAGCTCTCTTCTTGACAACACGGTCGGTGGGAGTAGAGCCACTTGCAGCCGAGGCTTCTGCGGCTTCCTGACCCATGGCAAACCTCTGTCGGGACGTTTCAGACTATAAGGGAAGCTCACATTGTATGTTCGACAAGAGCAAAGGCGTTCAACTTTGGGCTTCCACCCTGATCGACCGGGGAGGTGTCAGATGAGGCAGGAGAAAGCTGAGGCGCGCAAATGGTGGGTCGTCCTTGGTTTCAGCAGGAACTCTCAGGAGAATTTCCCGCTGGAGAAGTGCGGGAGGATGTGCCTGGAGAGGAGGGGAGGAAGGGGATAGGAGGACGTGGAAAACTCTTCAGCTAGGGATTAGGAGGTCAGGCGATTTGAAGGTCGACGGGGAAAAAGGGCCATTGCTGTTTGATGTTCTGGATAGGAATTAGGTGGATGGAAGCCCTTGGTGTCTCCCCCCGCACAATTTGGCACTGGGCAGGTCGGTGGCAGGCTTCCAGGGCACCGACTGGCTCGCTGACAGGCGACAAGCAGGCGAGCAGGGCCTCCCTCCTGCTCCATCCTGCTTAGTAATCCGTTGCGTCAGAAAAGCCATCTCGCTGGCCATCACAATCCTATGTCCCTCGTCCTCGAAATCAACATGGACAAGGAAATAGGCTCGCTAATTTCTACTCGGCACTACGACGCACATGTACACTTCCCACGTCAACAATCCCAACACCGCCCTACTCCACCGGCCAGTTGCAGACCATGCACCACGTCGACACGCCCTCGTCGCCGTCGTTCCTCTCCCTGGGATACGACCAGATGACCTTGACGACCCGGAACCCAAAATACGCATAGACGTCCCGCGCCCTCGGGTTCCCTGCCACCAGCCAGAGCGGCAACTTCTCCTGCTTGGCTCGCTTGACGTATGGTTCGATGACGGCTCTGACCGCGCCCTTGTCCTTGCGCTCGGGATCCCGCGCCATCAACGAGAGCGTCCAATATGGCTGGTGGGCGCCCAGACAAGCCAGTTTCGCCTCCTGAATGTCTCGCGCAAACTGTGCAAAGACGGGCCTCTCCCGTGCCATCTCTGCAAACTGGGCCTCCGTGAACGGTGGCTGGTTGGAAGATGGAGGCTCCCAGCATGCCACGGCGGCAAAGTTGGCTGCCTCTACCACCGTCGCTCCGGCGGCGACCTTGGTTTCAATGCGTCTTTTGGCGCCGACGTAGAGGAGGTCTGGCGTCACAGTCGTCGCCCTGCCCGTCTTTTCTTGCTGGAAGACAATATTCAATGGGTCGCTGAGAGTCGCGCGCGACGTGATCTCGGCGAGCCGATGGCGATATTCTGGGGAATTCGACGCCGTGATTCGAGGCAGCAACAGCATTGACGCTGACGATGTGCCGTTGGCCTCGACGAGCGACGTGACCGACATATTGTTGACCGCGACTGCCGATGCTGCTTCCATCTGGTCGCTTGTGCTTGTGGTGACCATCTTGTCGACTTCCTGCTTCACCGTCGCGGGTCATTGCCGAGGTCGGGGGGATTGTGTGTTCTTTCTATCACGGTTCTTCTTACCTGACCACATGAGTCATCTCGAGGCTCAATGACCTTCATTTTCCACTGCCAGGGTTGGGTACACCGCCCCCGAGGTTGCATTATCAACTTATCGCAAGGTGACAATGAAGGATCCGATTCCCGGACCACAATTGGTAAGGTCTCCGATTTATAGAATGACGCACTCACCCTGGACTTGCCCTGCTCGCCTGGTCTTTGCCGATCGGAGTCCCCCGAGCTGTGCCAAGCGGCTGGACAGGCTACATCGCCTCGTAGCCTTGCATATTCAACCCGCCCTTCTCCTTCCCTCTTTGCCCCTCTTCCATTTCAGGTATGTGCAAAACAACAGGGGCTGAATAAACACCCCGACAAAGCTACTCGGTACATGCCAAGCCAGACATCTTCTACATTAGTGTAAATACTTCAAACCAGAATACCGGACCCAACAGGTGAAGCCACTCGCAGTTGCCTGGAGGAACCTCTTCCATTCAGAAGATGATGATGGTAGCAAAGCGTCTGCCACAAGCCATGGGCGCAGCACAGCTTTTGTCACAACAAGAACAGGGTGACGTCCGTCTCCCTCGTCGAAAAGAATGACGACAATTTCGATTGTGAATGTTTATGTTGTCCCCCATAAATGGTTTCAAGCCTCTGCAAATTGATGGGGCCGGCACTGGTGCGTAGGAGGCATGTAGGAGAATGCAAAGAGGATTCTGCACCGCAGCCGAGTGGATGCATTGACCACACCTTAAACGGCATCTTTCTAGTGGACTTACCGGCGCAATGCGACGCCGAGTTGAACTTCCAACTTGCTCGTCGACTCTCTGCCACTTGGATTGACAATCCGAATCTACTGGCACCAAACCCCGGCGCATTGTTAAGGCAACAGCTCGTCACCCATGCCTTGCGACAAGAGTTCGAGGCGCACGAGTCCTCGTTCCGCAAGGAGACCGGCGAGATCCTCAAAACACAAGGAGTGGAAGATCTCTCAGGGTGTGTGCAAAATATCTAGTGGCAGAGGCACAACGTCGAGGACGTGACCAGTCAATGGGAGCCTTTGTGGCCGGACAGAGAACGGCGTGAGAACGGATGGGAGACGCAATGGTACTCGTGCTCTGCGGGCCAGTCACCAACCACTGACGTGGGGATAGCCCGGCTGAAGGGTCATTCCCTGATGGCAATAGTAGATCCCTTGCCATGGCCAACTCGAGCTCCCAAGATCAGCAGATATTCCAAGACTGAACTGATCACTCCGCGGTCCTGCCCGGATCGCAAGGCTTCGAGGCAATCATGAATGTCACTGCTAGTAATCTCCCTGCCTTTGCCGCTGCTGGAGACTTACTGAATAAGGATCCATCAGAGTCGAGGTCAAGTTCGATCAGCATTTGACAACTCATCTGTTGCAAAAGAAAACCCCAAGTGCCGGGTCTGCAGTTTTGGGCATCTGATCGCCTTGATTCGTCAAATTCAAGGACCGCATAATCTCACTTCACGCAGAGCCAGTCGCTTCGAAGAGGGGGGACAAGCCAACCGGAAATCCCCATGATTGTTGCGCAACAGCGCCCGGGGCACGTTCTTCCCTTTATCTGGCCCTCTGTGGTGTTGCGGATAATGTGACACGAATTGGGGTATAGAGACAGTGGCTTCGTATCTGGTGAGATAGACTGCTGAAATCCAGTGCTGCGAGGGCACACCCTTGGACACTGCTCTGGCCTCGAAACCAGCGCAACCAAGGTTTTGTAATGGGGATACTTCTAGCAGATCCCAGATGGCCCACCGGCCGCATGCTTTAGTGATCGATACAGAGACGCCCAACGGTGCAGCATCCATGTCATAGTTGGACCCCTGACAGTATCGTCGGTATCCGTTCTCTTGCAACGTCCACCTTGACTCGAATACCTGCTAGCCTTGGGAACAGCATTTTAGTCGCCCGTGCGCAGACGAGCATACTTTGGAAGATCACGGTTGGAACCAAAGCCAACCGAAAGTGGAAGTGGGCGGATGGCGATCGATTCAGAAGGTTCGTCCTGTCTTAGATCCATCTTTCCGGGAATGTCCTCCACATACTGTAAGTCGAAATATGCCCCTACTCAACTCGCTCTCATGCAGGTATCAAAACTCGATATCAGAGCCCAAGAAAATCTGCCAAAAGATAGCATTGGCGTCTGGTGACGCGTAGACGCGTGAACGGTCTCGATCCATGGGCTTAATGACCGAACTGTCGATGACGTTTTAGCGCCTCTGAATCCACCGCATGTTGTCAGCGTGAAACAGTCTGGCTGATCACATGGACTCGTAGCAAGAGAAGTGGATATCTGACAATGACAATTCGAGGGCAATGCTCCGTCAGCGTCTCCGGGATTTGAGAAATGGAACCCCAATTTAGACCTCAGCAAGCCTGTTCAGTAGTCTAATCAACGATTAGCGATGTTATGAAGTCCGGTCTACTTCCAGCGCCAACGTAAAGAAGTATAGCGGCTAGCCGAACGCTGCCGCACTGATATTTCTGGCAATCTTTCCGGTACAGAAGATGAAACCGAACGAGGGCTTTGGGAGGAGATGTTCTCAATGCTTTGATGTACTTGTACGAGTAAGTCGGGAACTGGCAAAGGCCGCGGCCCAGCGAAACTTTCCAGCATGTCCTGTGAACTGACCCAATGGCTTTGCTCAATCCACATTTTAGGAATAGGGTCCGTGCTATGCGATTCGTTGGGCGCGACAAAAGCGATTGGCCTCTCATACTTAGCTAACTTCGTTAAGATGGGGTTGTTTGCAGGGCCCAGAAAAAGGCCCCCGAGCTCGACGGAGACACTGAGACGAGTTTATTGTACTGCTGGAGTTTCAGGCTTTCCTGTCCGACGCGTGTCCACCTAAAAGACCAGAAATAGGTGGACTAGCCGTGAAGAGTACCTCTTACCACGCATGTCGGTTCGAGAGGAATATCGTCGCCTGCGTCGCAACTGATTGTACCTCCTGTACCTTTGTAGGTACGCCATCTTTGAGACATTGGGATGTCGCTTCACACGCATCTCCATATCTCATCTCGGTTATGGCGCCACAGCACAGTGAACGACAAGTTGAATCGAGCATGCAAGTCGAAGAGAGCGATCTTCGATCACGCCTAACCGAAATCGTGTTGATGCGGGTATCAGGGGAAGGATAAGGTTGAAGCGGTCATGGAGGCGAGCATCCGGGCGGAAGAGGACCATCCTCTCTCTTGTTAGGTTCACGGAAAGTGGGACTTGACAAAGTTGAACACTGCTCGTTAGACTTGTCACATCCATCCGATCCGGTTAACGGCTAGGAGTTCTCAATCAGCAACGTATGTACTTACCTACCCGGTTAGCTCTGGACAAGATATGGAAAGCCCCGGTTTCGGGGAACCTTGCGTCGTCTCCATAATATTCCCTGGAGTGGAGTCGTAGTGGCCTGACTCTTTTCCGGGCCATGATCCAAGCTTTTAGCAGACTGAACCCAGATACCGATACGAAGGTGATTGAATTTGAAGCTTTTCGCCTGCACTTGTAGGTTTCACATTTTCCTGGTGCCCAGACGAGTGAATTTGGATCCATCTTGAGAGGTATGTGTTCTTGTGGAAACCATGTGATGCAACGCGGAGCTTTGAAGGGCCCGCCTTTAATGCCAAGCGCTACGATCATGGGCCTGGTGACTCGCGATCACTGGGAGACTCCTACATCAAGTAATAGGCCGCTGGCCAAACTGCGAGAGACCAGGTCCAGGGGGTGGGCGGGTGCGTTGTCGAGGGCGAAAATCAGGTAGACGCGACAGTGGCCGCTTAAAAGGGTTATCAACCGTTGTGACTTGGCCCCCTTGGTTTTGGGGCGGCAGGCGTTGGCCGTTTGAGCCAGAAGGAGTTTGGCGTTGGCGCCGTCCGGAAGGATCCATCGCCTGGTCCAGGCCACGCCACAAAGCCCGAAGCTTTGGATGATGGATGTGTGACCTCTTGTCCGTGTTACCGGGTAGTGGGTGCTCCAGAAGGCTTGGTGAGGGATACAAGGGCGGCAACAGAACCGCTTCAGAGCACGCGTTTCTCGTGTTTTGCCGTCCATTGGCCGGAATCGTGCTGGTCCTGCACAAAAGGATCGTTATGAGAACAGGAGGTGGTTGCCTTTTGACGAAAGAGAAGGGTTGTTGCTTGGGTGATGGCAGAGATGGATGAGGCCGGCACTTTTGGAAGGTGGAAGTTGAAGCCCCTGGCGCAGGCGCTGGCAGCCTGGCACGTAGCTGCGCTCTCTGACGTAATATGGGACGGTGGGGAGACGAGGGAGGTTGGGGACTTACCTACCGAGGACAGGGACTTGGGAACCGCATTCATCCATCAACGCCTGTCCACTTTCCACTCTGGAATCCCGGCTCCCATAGAGTCTCTGGAAGTACTTGTTAGTCGACCACTTACGAGGTCCTCCGTGTATGTTCACATCCAATGATGTAAATCGACGAGAACAGAAAACGGCAGGAGAGGGCGGCCCTCTGCTCCGTGGCACAACACGGAGTAAATGATTCGAGCTTTAGCAACCAGCCCTGCTCTCCACCCTTGGAGACATTCGGCCTCTACTCGGAAGCTCGGAGTTGATGTTGGGCGCCGTGATCTGCTCCGCGACAATCTCTGATATCTCGTCCTTCTCATGGTATCCCTGGAATGCACGGATCTGGGATCTTGCCGGGGCCAGAAGCAGATGCGGATGGTAGCGGATTACTCCGGGAGATCTCGCCTTCCCTCCTGCAGTCACCGTCGCAGCAGATCAGAACGGAGGTGTACCTATGTATATTGAACTTGTACCAAGTACCTGGTAGGGAGAGCTCCAATACCCCCCTGCTCATTGGTGTCATTAGTTGTCAGTCCCCAGCGCACAACACCCATCAGCAGCCCTTCTCCAAGTGCGGCGTCTGGTCTTGTTGCACATCAGTTTGGCTCCT